GCAAATTGTTGCAGAAGTCTCTGAGTGTTACTCTGGGTGGTGTCAGAGTCAAAGGAAAAAGTGTTTAATTTTAGTGTTTAACATTCAGGTGAAATCCTTTAGGAAATTTTGAGACTCCCTAAGGGTGCTAACCAGGGATGTAGCCAGTATCCTCCAATTCTAATTCCCTGCAAGAGCAAACGTCTTTCCGAACCTGCCTGCTCCATTGTGCTGTTGTCATAACTCCCCAAAGTAAAGTGAATAACAACGTTAGACACATTATTGTATCAATTGGAATGCTCAAGAATACTTATATTAATGCCTCAGAATGTCCTAAGGATTTTTAGTTAGATGTTCATGCTACATTTACAGTACAGATGGGTAAATGGGTACAATAGTACAGATCTGTTAGAGGTATAATCTACAGAATTTCCATCAATAGAGGGCAATGTTTAACTGACACTAATGACAAGAGTTTGCACTTACAAAAACCTCATGCTTGTTCACACAGTTCCAGAATCCAAGACACTCAACTCACAAGTCACATCCCACTCTGCGAGTTGTTAAAGCTTTGGTGTCATTGCTTCTGTACCTGCTGTGCTTCACAGTTATTCTGGTGTTATAAGGTGGATAGGTATTGGTCACTTCCTCTTCTGTGTTAAACACTGGCAGCTTATTTTGGATGCAAATTGGTGTCCCGATGCAGGAGCTCTCAAGGTGAAGGATGCACAAGTACCTAGTTACTAGGTACAGAGACCAAAGACAAAATGAACGGCACTGCAGACTCAAAATCCCAGCACTCAACACTGGATTAAAACTTCTACAGAAGAGCCATCTTTGGTGCCTCAAGGCTCATCTTGGGCAGCGCTCATCAGTTCTGTGGAAGGCTGTGATATTAAAGGTTGCTGGAACTTAGGGGAAGCTTTCTGATAACTGACAATGTGTTGCAAAGAGAGCAGTGGTTATTAATACTAGCATATTACACAGCTCCCTTTTAAATCTATGGCCACTTAATTTCTTAATCAGTCTTAGTCTGCATTGTGTAAGAACAGATGGAGAAAAAATAAAAACAATTACCATTATAGAGATTTCTTCAGTAATTTATAGAGACTCATTGTTTTTACAGTAGTGGTGATTAATGAATTTGTGCTGCATGATTCTCTTTTTTGAGGTTTTTATCTGTTGTTTTCCTTGTAAGAAGCCAGTGTTCTGTCAATGAACACTATTGTTAAAGATAATAGAAAGAAAACTTCTGAAAGAACAGAACATGCCAGTTTACATTTCAAGGAAAAGATGTTCAGAAAGACTCTTACCTGCTCAGCCACACTCGCAAATGAAAAGTACACTTGTGGCACAGAAAAATGAGATCTGTACCTGATGTGCAATGAGATTATGAAATATTCACTGCAATATAATACAAAAGATGTACTGAGGTTTGCCATTATTAACTGCTACACTACCAACGTCTTAGAAATACAGCATTTATGTTGGTAAAATGATACATCTTCAAATACCCCACATGGTTTCAAAGTAGATTCACCAGACGTGCAAGAAAGCAGGAAGTTTGCAAAAAGCAAAAAAAAATAATAATCATCAGTTGCTGAAAATGTTAATGCCCTTTATAAAATTATAAACTTCATCCCAGCTGCCAGTGCAAGCAGAAGATGAAGGGTTAATTATGCAGCTGCAGCTATAGGCTAGGTGTTGTATGCATGGATTTCTCCTGATGCAGAGAAAAGCAGGCACCCACCACCCTTTATCTGAATAGTAAGTAGACTTTGGATTCATACATAATAACAGATTATTAGATTTTCTATCAGAAGACAAAAGCCTTATAATGCAGATGAACACCTGAGTGAGAACAAGTATACATAACTTTGAGCAAAATAAGGAGCAGAGAGATACACTTACTTCATGATTCTTCTCAGACTTATAAACAAACTTTTAACGGCTGATAAAGTGGTAAAGCTTAAAATGGATGACATGTATTCATTTTTTAAATTCTTTTCCTCCAAATGTCTCACAGTAAGGGTTATTTTATCTGTAGGCACTATCAGCTGTCTGTCCTTTCATCATTGATCTCTTTCAGAATTAAAGCATAGCACTCTGCATCAAGGAAAGTCCAGTTCTGGTTATTAGAGTTTGATTAGTTTGGGTTATTAGAGGTCTGAATCCCAGTCCTATTCAGTTGACATTACTGCACTAGAATCCGTGGAATTAAGGTATTACCACACGCCTTTACAGAGATATTAAAATAAATCTGGACCCCTGCCTACACTGCCTAAGCCACTGTGTAATCTGGTCCAAGCAGGATCTGGTGAGAAATGCTCAAGATGTCCTCAGAGCTCAGAGGCTCAGAAGCTGATTAAGTTCAGCAGGTACACAGTTATATCAGCTAGTTGACCAATGGGCACATCTCCTGCCTCCACTGTATGCATGTGGAAGGATAAGAGGAAAGAAACTGTATTGGACAAATACCTGGTGAATTTAGGGTATTACTCACACATATCCTGCATCTGATACATGGCCACTTTCAAACACATGGAATGTCAATATGTTTATTTCTATATATACAGTATATGTACCCTTTAAATAAACGTAGTTTTATTTTTTTAGACATTGATTGTCTTGGATTGTTGTTTTATTTTAGGCCTGAATGAACTCTAATAAGAGGATCCATTAAAGGTTAATGGCTGAGATACATGCTTTCACTACATTGTTTGAATGACTTTGAAAATAAAAAATCTTTTTAGCTTTCTGTAATGTTTGATGGTGTATGTTCATGCTCAGCTCAGACTTCAGAATGCGCTCACATATACGGTATTTCACATGATGCCGGAATCACACAGCTGCTAGGATTCTGGAGCAGGGCCAGATGAACCTGCGTCAGTGTTGAGAAAAAAAGGTCTGTTTTCCGGATTTGGCACTGCTCAGCTCATTTTCCATGACTATGATTAGAATTAGAATGCTGCCTCGAGTACCTGTGAAGGTAAAAACAACATTCCAAAATCAAGCTACATGTGCATTCCACTTGAGCTGTATGTTAAAAAACTCCCAAGAATGAACTTTTGCTGTTTTTTACAACCCTTATCTATTTTCTAGCTTGCTGAATCTTGTCTGAGCTGAAACCTTGTGTTAGAACCAAGCTTATGATCTTTAAAGACTAGAAAAATAACCAAAAAATAAGAAATGAGGTTAGGGAGGACATGAGATTCAAAATGATTTCATGAGTCAGGAAGCTAGTTGTGATGCTGTGGGTGCCGCCAGGTCTCTCAGGCACATATACGAGTATGTGCTGAGTAAAAAGAGTAGATAAGGTTTTGACTCCTTTCATGTACAGTACCTGGACAAGGCAGTAAGCTAGCAGTGACACTCTTACATAGATTCATGATCCCAACTGCCTACCAATAGAAAATGTGAAAACTCTTCACAAACTTTGTGTACTTCAGCCAGTTCCTAAAAACATGGCCTGCTTCTGTTCTAATTTAATCCAATTTTAGACACACCTCATTCTTTCCTGTAGTCAGCACATGCGGCACAAGCTCTGAAACCATTCAGCAGGTGGCTCCCTGGGAGAATGCACAGTGTCTGTTCAGAACTGAGCTGTAATGAGCACAGCAAGCACTCAACCCCCACGTCAAAACGAACTGACAGACTTGAGCTCAAAGACCAGATACTGCGATCTTGTTTTCTGCTGGTAAAAGTAGCTCACTGTTAAAATTACTCTTAAATAGTACAAAATGCAAGGGTGTCAGCCATGACTGCTAACTTAAGTAATAGCTATTCCAATCCAACAACAAGTTATCTGTACTGATGTCCTTACATTTCCTTTATAAAAAGGAAAGGAGGATAAGAACAGAAGAAAGGTCACAAACCAAACTCTTTAGCTGTTATAACCTGTTTTTGTGTATGTTATGTGCATATGTCTTTAGCAAAATAGAAGTGAGCTGCATTTGTACATTTGTACAGCTCCGGTTCATGCCTAACCATTGGGGTTGAACAACCAATATTTCCACTAGGGAACATAAAATTCCCTGTTTGATATAATGTGTAAAGTTGACCAGTTTATTATAACACTAGTTCAATAAAATAAATAGGATTCAGAAAAGAAATGTTTCTAGTAAAATCTGTGTTAACCTTCTTGGAGAGTGAGCAAAAATAACCTTATGGATCCTCCCATTTATAAAATGCAGGGAGAATTATCTCCAAAATATAAAAATGAAAATATAAGAAGGAAAACAGCCAGACTAATTCCTTAATTACTTTAAGGCTCAGCACTATAGTGTTAGGAGGTTGCTGAAAAATGGACCATATAATGTTATATGAGACACAATTTTCTTTTGTGCATTGGCACAAAGATTTCAATAAGTACTACTCTCATAGTACTACTCTTATAAGTACTAATCTTTCAGGAGTTATCCTGCCAGCAATAACCTTGATGCGGGTCTAAACGTCTGTGGTTGATTTACTACTAGAACACAGTTGAAGTGTTCCAGGACAGCAAGGTGGCAGGTTCCTAGAGACAGCAGAAAGGGTAGACTCTTGCCACACGGGTATGCAGAAACAAAGTGATGCCACTCAGGAAGAAATTAACTCCTTATAATAATCCAGCCCTACACCACAGAACAAAGACATCTAGTTTTCCTCTAAAGGAAGACCCAAACACCGTTTTCAAAAGGTAACTAAAATTCTGGAAAGAACAATTGGAATTTACTGGATTTTAGAAAAAAAGTTGGGAGTTGGGAAATGCTGAAATAAAAAAGCTTTTTGAGAAAAGCCATCAAGCAAGCAGCCCGAATAAGCCCAGAATTAATAATCCATCATGTGAACTTCAATTGACAAAAAAAAAATGAACTACAAAAAAGCTAAACCTAAAAGGTTGTAAAAAATGTTTAAAATGTTGACATTTGTATTATTCTTTGCTCATAAACAGCGCCAATGTGTTGCTGAGTAAGTGGAAGAAAATGCGGGACAAATTCCTGAATTCCGTGTGGTCATCACAGCCAACCAGAATGCAGTACCTTCAGGGCTTTCTGTGCAGGTTCGCTAGAGCCGATAGCAATGAGGCCGGGGCCCGCCATGCTGCAGAAACTCTTCAGGTGCAGGTTGTGAAGCACAGGGACCATGGAAACAGCATAGTCCTGCAATGGATCAAAGGAGGACACCACAAACTGAAATGTCTTCTTAGTAATTATATAATTTATGCATGTTTACATGTGCTTCCATTTTGCTTTGAACTTTTTCGTATCCCCATGTCTTCTTCATCATAGATTCAAAATGGGCACCAACTGTTCTTTCAAATTACATCATTTCTATTTCTTATCTGCCAGGTACCCAAGTAGAAGGCTATAAGGATATTTTGTACGTCTAATAGCAAAGATATGTCTCCCTTTATATCAGTCGAACTGATAAAATGTCACTGTCATTGGTGCCAGAAAACTATGCAAGCAATCAGCTGGCTGGTAGTGATGTCCATGTCATCTTTTTTAGCATTATCCTTTCATCCTGTTAATCTATTCATGGCAAAGTGTGTTTTATAGACCACACAAAGTCAGTTTAGCCTGAGCTATCAATCACATTCTGTAAAAATATGCTGATGGTAACAAAAAACATTTTAGAATAATAACACAAACAAATTACAGTACAAAGGAAGGGGATACTGAAGAAACTGAGAAAGGAACAAAATGTGTAAGAGATATTTAGATACTGTGTCAGTGTTTAGACTACACCACACTCTCTGACCTTCTTTCAGCTGCAGGCAGGGCTCGTGGTGCACTGATAATATACACATGATAGGGAAGTCATGCGAAGGAGGATTCTTGCTTCCTTCGTTCTGTGTAAGTCTGAGTTCCAAGACTAGCAGAAAGAATCAAGGCTGTGCTGTAGCACAGAAATTTAAGAAAGATCTTAAGTACCACAAATACAAGTTCAGGAAAATCGGGCTAATTCAGAACCCCTGGCGTGGAATCAGTGTGTGCAGCATACAGGTTGGAGGTGGTGGAATGACAGAAAATGTAGCCTGGAAAACAAAACCAATCCACTCAAGTCAGCGTAGATTCCAACAGCAACGTTATGGAATACTGCTTATGTTTAATTTTTGTAAGTTGTGTGTAAGTATTTGTTCGGTTAGGAACTGATGTTAACTTCATGTTAGATTTTTTGGTGGATCAGTGTTATGTAACCATTCAGAACTTTTCACTGACCTTGAATGTATCTGCTAGGATTTCTGCTCCTCGCTGGTTTGTTCTCCTTGATAAGCCCACAAAGAACTCTCTACCTGGAAAAATGGAAAAAGAGCACCAGGTGATCTGCCCCAAACCACCACAGACCGAGTCGCTTCACCCTGAAGGTGTGCTCGTCCAGCGCTGCGGTATTACAAATTAGACATCTGCAAACTGAGCCCTGGAGGCAACATGTTAGCTCTCTTGCTATGTGCCAAACACTGCCATGTGCAACTCATTACAGCAGACAGCACTGCAAAGTCTAGAAGAATACTTAAGTGCACAATAGGTTTAAATTCACAATACAACTATTATGAAATGTTCAGAAGCTTAAAAAAACTTTTCTTAATATGTATATCAAAGTTAATAGCCATTTTCTGATTGTTCAACAAAGAACTATTGAAAAGGTTTGGAGAAATACATTTCCTTTTAACAAAGTTTCTGGATCACTTCTGCACTCATTTTGTTCAACTGCCTTGTAAAGATGTCCATAGAGCAGTGTAGCTAGAATTAAACACAAAACTGAAAATAAACCATCTGCTGTAATTTCGAGATTTAGCAATACCAAAAGACTACGTAGACACTCAGTCATTTGCTGTATAATAATCTGTAGAGAACATGTACTTTTCAAGGTACAGTAGGCTTTTGAGTCTCCAGTCTGCTCAGTGTGACAAGTAAGTCCTTGTGGACATGCTTTCTGGGTGACTGAAAGGAAAGTGGGGTTTCTACAGTGTTTTGAGTGGAGAGCTATGTCAGTATGTATCTTCACAATAACAAACTGAGATGAATACCACACTGAAATGTAAAGAAAGAAAAACAACATTCGACCTCTTTAAAGCTTATGTGGGTGTATTCTTCAGTCCTCTTCACCTACCTAAATAAGACTGATCAATCACTTATGTTTCTTCAGAATCATTTCAGAGTGGAATTAATCTTTATTGTTGATTGCTACTGTTGTTGCTACTCGAGTGTTCTGCGGAATTGTGAACATTAGTGTTGAATGGAATATAGTCTGCAAACGTAAGCAGAAGTTAATCATCTCCATCACTTATCTTATTTAATATCATAACATTCTATATACTATGTAAAACCAATAAATCATCAGAAAAAAAACACTCCAGTGTGATCTTTCCACACTCCACACACCTGTGAACAGCACGTCTCCCCCATCCAGCGTGGCAGTCTCTTCCACCATCTCCACCACGTTCAGGCCCAGCTCCTTCAGAGCACTTCCTACGGCTTCAGTCTGAAACACAGGGACGGTTCACCCTGTAAGGCTGGCTCAAATGCAAAAGCAGAGCGCAGAGAAGCTTCATAAAAAAACATGCCTGGAGTGGCTACTTCAGAAATGAATGCAAGATCAGTTGGGTTCACTTGGAGGTGCACCGCAGCCCCGAACTCACCAGGCTCACAGGACCTCAGCACGGTGCTTCAGCAATTCCCAGAAAACCCAGAGTGTGAAGTAAGTATGGTGGTGCAGGTGAGTCACGCATTCCCAGTCGAATGGGATTCTTTTTCATTGCCTCAAACAGTAAAATTTCATTTTGGATAATTGTTCTAATATACCAAATTGCTACATCATCACAGTCATATGAAATGATGGTGTTAAATTAATATGTCCTCACACATTACACTGTGTTTCTAAACCTCTCTTTCTCCCTCTTATGCAATTTTGCACTTGTATTTCAACTCTGTGCTGTCATTACTTTTATGCTTCTGGCTACACTCACTTTGTATGAATTGTCTTCACTCAAACTAATTGTTCCTCTCATAAACATACAGTATTAGTGAAATTAAGCACTCAGAACTCAACTATAGCAATTGCAGGCATATGTTTATACAAAATGGCAACATTTAATAACTTTACATAAAATATGATGTTATAATTATTTTAGTATGAGGTTATATTATTATATATTATTTTATTGTAGGGGATTTTAGCCCCATAAATGAACTGGTAGTCAAAATATTCAGTTGCTACAAACTGGTTTAACCCTGATTACAGTTTATCAGTCTAGTGGTATCCTTATTATGCTGGGTCTGGTTGCAGGAATGATGTACATAAGGCCTCACACCTGAAGAAGGCTCCACAGCCAAAACATTGTGTTTCTTTTCTTTTCTTTTCTTTTCGGCATTGAATAAACCCGTTACCTGTTCCTTTGCAGCCTACGCATGCTGAAGCAGCTTGTTATGTACTTGATGTACATAACAGCAACTAGAGGGGAGCTAGGGTGGTGTTCAAGTGGACTGTAATGAAATCTCCAATGCTGTGTCAAGGTTTGCAGCCCTCAAGTGTAACAGACCTTGCTGCTCTGTCAGTTCAAATTGAAGAGCTGGCACAGAGTCCTCTGTTACAGCTGTAGCAGATACTTCCTTCCTTCTGAGGCTCTCTCTCAAAGTACGAGACATTTTTTAAATTAAAACTATATGACTCTTTCGGGCTTTCAGAGGCTAATTTTGCTACTTTGGCCATTCCTCGTCTGGGGTGCTTGACAGCACACAGGGATCTGAATGCAGACTGATTTTAAAGCACGAACACATTGCTTGTACCCACAGACCTATCTAAAAATGATGTCAGTCAGTTGGTTAGTCACAGGCCTCTGGTTCTTTTCAGAGGAGCAAGCCAAGTCATGAAGTCATCCAGGTAGGGAGCTGCTCAGGCCAAAGCCACGTTTTCAGCTCTGATAAAAGTGTTTAGCCCCTGAAACCATGCCTGGCCTTTCCTGCTCAGCAGGGAATAAAGAAGCTGAGCTGGACGAGTCTGCTGTGTCTTGGATATCCCTTTCTCTTCCTGGCACATGGACAGCAGCACCTGTATAAACAAACTGAGGCTCGTCCTTCACATTCTCTGCAGCAAACAGAAACCTTACCCAGAAAAAAAGACCTTAACTTTAAACAGAAACTGCCACTTAAAAGAGAAATCTGTGCAGTACTTTACTGAGTAATGAGAAAATTTCCTTTCTGCTCTTAATTAATGGAGTTAAATTGCGTTTTCATCCGGCTATAAACACGGATTTAGTTTTTCATGGAAAGTAAGAAAACAAAGCCACATCACAAAACTAAATTTAATTTCTCTACAGTAGTCTTGTGAGGAGTCTTGTGTAACACAATGATCAAGACGCATATTTAAGACTGTTCCTCACCATAATCTTCCAGGCTGTATCATTAACCTCTGCTTATTGCTTCTCAGCAACTGCCTGGATGGTCTCCTGTATCATCATATACACAAAGGCTTCATCTTAAACTTTAACTTATGTGTTAAACATTTATTTGTATTTTATTTAATAAATTTCATAAATAAATTTATTTTTATTTTATTAGAATAATTCATATTTTATTAAGAATAATTCATAACCATTCACTCCCTTTAGACCCCGCTGTTTTGTACTAAGAGTCTCCACTAATCACCTGCACTGAGAGGAGTTCCAGAGAGGATCACCAGTCTTGACTCTGTACTGGTAAAATAAAGCCACTGGCTGTCAAGTGCTGGCTGACTAGACGAGCTATTTCTGGACTATGACTAGGCAATTTGAAATAATTTCTGATACACAGGTTCCTGAAATCTGTCCTTAAATAGTCTAGACTATACAAAAATATGATTTTAGATTTAATTTTTTTAGAATGTAATCATTTTCATCCTTGACTCCCCAGCAGGTAAACTGTTTATTCGATTGTTTTGCTGGGAAGTGAGCAGAGTGAAGCTCTTAATTCTGAATCCCCTTTTTATTTATATACTCACAGGTGTTTGTGCCCTTATTGCAATCATTGTTCAGGAAAGGGAAATGACAGCAGTATATTCTAATGTCATTTAATCCTGGTAGACATGACACTAAGGTGCCTGATCTCTATTCTAATTACTAATGGCCCCAGGCAACACGGAGCAGTGATATTTTAGTTTAACCCAGCACCAATCTAACAGCAATACCAAAAAGTTTGCTTTTAATCTATGAGTATAAAATATCAGAACAAGTATTTCCTTATTTGAGATTAGCCTATCAATTTAACAAAAAATCTGGATTAGGTCTTTTTTAGTGCTTATCCCATTCTATAAATCCAAGCAGAAGGGAAATAAGTAAAATATGCAGGACAGGGAATGTTTTCCTCTTCTACTGTCTCAGCTCACTCATCAGTCACCCTGCAGTACAAACACCCCATGTGGAACACAGGACTTTTTGCTTTCACAGCTGTGAGCTCCACAGGAATATTCCAGGCTCTGTCTAGTAAAAGCTGCATCATTCCAAAGGCATTTCCTATGGAATCATACAATGCAACTTGTCCATACCATCAGGGTCTGTAAGTCAAGCGTCCAGAACCTTGAAAAGAGACACTGATGAGCTAGGAAATAGTTTTTTTTTTCTCCAGTCGGAAAGGGCAAAATTGATTGTGTAGCATTCATTCATTTTCACAGTGAAGATCTGTCCCAGATGTAAAGCAGACACGCACAGTACAGTGCGGAAAGATAAGTGTTCAGAAAAAAATAATCAATCAGTACTTATTGTATTGGAGGCATTACAATATACTGAATAATTAAATAAGCTTCTTGTGTTTTAGTGGATGTTTTTGTGTTTTCAATTCACTGACTTTTTCTTTCTTGCAAACAAAGGTAAAACTGGTTTCAAAAAGTCTGATGAGCACTAATTTAATAATACTTGCTAAATGTTAATTTAAGAACATTCAGCATTCAGCAATTAGTGCAGAAATATAATAAAATGACACTTTTTATGATCCTGCACAGCTGTTTATGAAGTTCCAAGATAAAGAAGGTCAGTGCAGATAATGATCTTACAATTCTGCTGTAAATACAAAATAGAGCAGTTTACTGCTAGTGTGTGAGGGTATACTGTAGACTATTTCCCTGTCAGACACTATAGAAACAAATGGAAAACAAAAGCTGATTTTCCTGCGAAAAACAATTGTTTCGTTACAATGGAAAAGCTCAATTGTTAAGATCTGTTGTAATGAAGGAGAAACGGAAATCAACAGAATGTTATATTTACATTTTTCTTTGTCTTTCAAAACACTGCTCAACTTGTTTGCAACCCATCAGTTCTACTAGCTACTGAATTGCCAAGAGCTTTTCGCCTGATCTTTGTACTCAGTTCCTGTATGGAGCATCCAGAGATTTTCTAAAAGAAAGCAGGGTATCGATTTGAATGACATGGATAGGCTGCCTGTTCCAGACTCCCACTACTCTGGGAAAAGCAGGGCCTCCTGTCCTCTGTTCGAATACTCTTCCCTGTGATTTCCCCATGTTCTCTGGTTCATGGTTCATTGTTTATTCTTTTGGTATTGGGATGACTTTTTCCAATACTTGAGTCAACTCTCTTAATAAACTTCTCTGTTCAAGATTAAAAATTAGAGAGTTTATCATATATTTTCTATAACATGGCTGCCACAACTGAGCATAATATTCTAATGCATTTCACAGTTTCAATATAACACCAATTTCATTTCTATTCTTTTAACTATATTTCCTGCAGAATTAGGGTTAGCTACCAAAACAGATATCAAGATTCCATTTCCAGTCCCAAATGTAGTGTACATGCCACTATAAAATCTGAGTGCCTATTCAACATCTATGCAGCTGGACATGGCTGCCTACCTATGTGATACTTCTTGCTAAATAGACTATTGTCAGGGCAAATACCTCATTGCATAATATATGTTGTTTGTGATGGCCCATAACCAGGAGCTCACTAAAGCCAACTTCCATTCCCATGAGCCAGCAATCTTCTGTTAAAAAAAACCCCACAAATCAGTACTTAACTACTGACATTGGTATTATAAGAATACATTAATGTATGCCTTTCTACAGCAGTTATGTAATGTCAGCAGTTATACACACAGGGTGCAAGCTCGTGATCAGACAGTCCTTGCAATGCCTCTGGGTATCTATGGCAACACACACTCTGCTGGGTATACAAAACAAACACTTTGATAAAGGATCTCACCAGCCCTTAGAAATCAGTTGCTTTAGCTTAAAAACAGACATCATAGAAAGGGATATTAGAGGTAGATGCTACAGCTGTCTGACTACAGGTTTTGAGCTTATATTGTATAAATCGAACACAGCAATGTCTTATAATAACCAACCAACAGTTCAGGATGGCAAATAACATTTTTTCTGATTTGTGCATCAGTGAAATAACTGACATTTCCAGTTATTTTCCATTTTTGCTTTTTTTAATGCAGTGCAAAGTATGTACCTGAAAGAATTTGCATAGATCATCATATCACATGCTTGAA